TCTCTCTCTCTCTCTCTCTCTCTCTCTCTCTCTCTCTCTCTCTCTCTCTCTCTCTCTCTCTCTCTTTGGGCTTCGTTATGGAATCGCCAACGAAGATTTATGATTCGTCGTGTATATTCGTCCCTGACGCGGTCTCACGAAGCAACGTCGGGGGAAGAAAGGTCAGGAGGTTGCGTGTAACGGTAATTAGTCGTATGAGCGATTCGTAATTACTGCGCGACGCGTCGTTATTTGGGGCAATATGAGTAAAAGGGGAAAGAAAGTCTTTTCGACAATCGCGACACGCGACGCTTCAAAAATTCCACTGAGAAGGAAACACGCATGAATGCAATTTCTCTCCGCGGCGAAGACGATTCATCTTCGAGGTATCACGACGGTCCGAAGGAAGAAGAAGTAAAAAAATAGAGTATCACGCGTCAGGAGTAGGACCAGTCCCCGTCTGTCTGACGGGGACCATGAGGGGATACCATGAGGGGGACGGGAGGCTGCGTATCCGCCCTTCGTTCTGACGAAGGTGCTGCTCTGCTCAGAGATGCTGCACGCCGCACCGATCCTGCGCCCGGTCGCAGCAACGTTGCGGGCAAGCCCTCCTCCCCCCCGCCCCTTCAGTCCTTTACCTGCCCCCTTCTACCTTGCCGTCGCGTACGGGATACCCTTCGTTCCTAGGCGTAGGGAAAGGGCGTCGGTGACCCTGCCAATCCTACGTAGGGGTAGTGGAGCGAGGTCACGAGAGGTCATACGAGCCCTACGGGCGCCCTGCGCCAAACGAGGAGGAGGAAGAGGAGAAGGAGGAAGGGGGAGGAGGAGGAGGAGGAAGAGGAACAGGCAGCAAAGAAGGGATCGACGAGTCGCGACGGGGGAGGTGAGCGGCAGGTACAGGAGAGTCTGCTATAGGATCAAGGTGTACCGAGAGAGCGTTTGCCCAGGAGAGAAGGACGCGCCGCGTGCGTGAGACAGGAAGCGCGGGTGTACGCGTAGCTTGCACGCGTGTCTGCACGCGTGTACGCGACGTTGGCTGCGGCGGTGGTAGCGGCGGCGGCGGCGGCGGCGGCGGCGGCGGCTGCGGGGGTCGATCGATGCGGCGAGACGCCGGGCGTCGCACTTTCCGCAGACCACTTCGCTCTCCAACCTACGCTATACTGTTCGCCACCACCACCATCACCGCGCCAGTACTACCACCACCATCATTACCACCAGCCAGGGATGCTAACGATACCACGATACTGCGATGGTGGTATCGATACGCCCGCGTTTCGATCTTTCCAGGGGCTTCCGACACAGTTGCACCCATGATACTTTGAGCATCGATCGCTACTTTCTAGAGGAAGAAGGAATATCGTGAATCATTTACCGAAATAATGAGATAATTAACACGTCCGCTATCACGGTTCATTTAGAGGACATTGTTCCACAATCCTATATTTCTTTACGTAATTTTGTAAAACGGGCTTAGAGTTTGATAATGTGGACATGGGGAGAAAGTTCTTACTGTGTGTGACACTGGTCTATAGTGAGTGATCGTTGCGTCACACACATGTAACGTTGACAGAGGATGTGTTAATGACATAACGTAAGAGGTTTCCGAGGTTGAGTTCTCTTCGAGGAATTCCAACGGATTCGAGCATACTTTCGTCCCGACGGCCTCGGATTTCGTTAGTCAACCGGTATCCCGGTAATCCGCTTTGTGCACGCACCTTACGGTGCGTGCCTCACAAGAATAAACGTTATTTCGGATTCATTGAACGAGTGGGGTTCGCGAGCTCGTAGCGCCAGGCTTGTACAGTCGGCGAAATACAGCCGGCGGCGGTGGCGGCGGCGGCGGCGGCAGCGGAGTCGATGCCACCGACACTGGGTGTAGACGAGGAGGGGTGCCGTCTCGCTCGCGGAAAAGCCGGCGGGGCTGAAGAGACCACCCCGTCGACCGACCGGTACTCCACGGCACAGTACGTCGACCCCCGACCAACCCCTGACGCATCCCCTACTACTACCGGTAGTAGCGCCGCGGTGCCCGACGCCGCAGCTCGCTCGGCATCAATGAAAATGACGTCACGGCAAAAAGCCCCACGTTTAATTATCAACGCTACGCTTCGCCGAGACGTGTACGGGCGCCGCGCGCGCGTGTGCGTAGGCGTGTGCGTAAGCGTGTATATGTGCGTGCTGCCGGCGGCGGCGGCGGCGGCGACGGCGGTGACGATGACGACAACCACGACGTAGACGAGGAATCGCGCCACGCGTCAGAAATTGGCGCAAGTTGAACGATAGGGAGCAAAAGAGCTATGCAATCTCGCATTTACGCGTGACCTCGCGATAAATTTCGATCATGACGAGAGGATGATATGATATCGCCAACGATAAATCGCATAGGACATTTCCTGGAATCTAATTGAGATCTCATCCGATTTCTTAAATTAATTATGAATTAGAAGTTGCTTCCAATATATGATTCTAAGTGGAAGACTCAGTTTTCCCGATATACTTTCTGGTTTACATCTTATATTTTACGTAGGACAAATTTGGACACTGTAATTAATTTCTATGCTGTGTCTGGAAAAATATTGGAAAATTTCTATGCGAGTACAAATATGTCGCTCAAAGCAGCCGTAGTTGTGTATCGCAACTCTAGTAGACATTTGAAGTACGTGGGATATTTTTCTAGTATCTTGAATAATTAATTGTTAGTAAACATACTTATATTCAAATTGTTTACTTTTATAATTGGCCCGAGCTATGGAACTATTTATTCGACGGTGATGCTCTAGTTGCTCCAGGCAGTGTTACCATTTCTAAAATCAAGGTCGTTAATTAACAGGCCCGAATTAGAGCCGCAGGTGACTTTCGCGACACGAGAGAGTGGGTGAAGTTTCTCCGGGACGAAGATGAGCCGGGAAATCGCGGAGAAGCACGTCTCACGTCGCGAGAGAGCGTATTAACGTTAATAGCGCGAGCTCGAGGCTTTTTATTCGGCCTTCCGGCGGTTCAATGGCCAAGAATGTCGAGAGGGGATCCGTCGTCAAACGATCGTACCGTCAGATTCGCCGCAATGACGTTGCGACGTCGCGGTCCTTCTTCCACGTCGTCGTCGTCGTCGTCGTCGTCGTCGTCGTCGTCGTCATCGTCGTCTTCGCGAAACCGCAGAGGCGTGCAGAGACACGAGCTCTTCTATTCCTAATTCGGTTATCCTTTCGATTTCGACGAACGGAAAGATGTCGTCATCACTGTCGCCATGGTAGACGCGTAGCCAAGGTTAGGCGAACGGACAGAAATTCTTAACCACTGGCGTATTTCTGCTTTCTCTTTCTAAAAAATGGGCCATCTCAGAAGAGACTTACTCTTATTTGCATAATAACTCGTGGTTTACATCTCAGAAATTACGTAGTGTCTAGCATCTGGATCGCATTTATTATCGCGGTTTACATTAAAATTTTAATTTGTTGGATTTCCCTTATGCTAAAGAAAGTTCAAATCTGAGATCGAGACATACATGGAAAAAGAAAGAATAATTGTGTCAATCAGAAAAATATACTAATAAAATATAGCATAGCTCTTTTTTTCCTGACTTCAAGAATCAATACTTTGTTGTGCTGATCTATCGATTCGTTACTTCAAAAATGAATATTTTCGCAGTGTTAATGGATGATGTTGCATAAATCAACGTAATCAAGAATTAGTTACTAGAAGCCAGAAATAAAATCTATGTCATATTTTACTATTTTCTAGTTGACACAATCATTCTTTTTTCTCATGTACGTCTTATTATATACATGTATATATGACCTTGATGATAATATTTGTATTATGATACTTTGACTAATCTCGCAACACTATCTGCGCGGTGCTTTTTTTGCTCCTAATATTTATATTTATATTTATAATGTTTATATGGCGTATACTCACTGAAATCTATAAGAAGCCGACCATAGCCCTGTCTCTGGTAAGGTGGTAGCGTCAGGATGCAGGACACGTTGTAATTCAAGAAAGAGTTTTTCTCCTGAAACAGATCGAGAAACCGCATTAGCATGTAGACGCCAGAATAGCTTCGCTGCATCGCCGTTGTCTTACAGAAAAGGATAAAGAAAATAAGGTAAAAGAAGGTAAAGAAAACCGTGGATCGCTACACTATCGGGAGAAACACGACGATACAGCTGTTACCACGCGCGTGCAATTGTAAGTTAAGTGAATTTTTATTAGCGAAATGCGATCGTATCTGCGCCTCGTGCCATGCGGAAGCGAGACCATAAATGCACACCCGCTACCGAAGATATGATCGATGATATCCCGTTCGCGAGGCACGCCAGACACGAGCGCGGCGCGTTCCGCGAAACTGTGACGTTAATGCATCGGAAATGCATCGCGCTTTCGCAGCGAAGTGGAGATAAGGATGCTCTCGTAACAGTACCTTTACATAGAGTAAACTAACTTTAGAATAAACTAATTTCCGCGATACGGTCTCTCACGATCACGCAGAAGGCAGCAAGCTCCTCCTGTTCGCGTTCGTTTGCGCACAATCCACTCGCAAGCTCTCATAAAATTAATCAAAGGTCATCACGAGCTCGGTCGAACGTTTCTCTTGGAAGAACGGATCAATTTTTCAGCATCCCCCTATAACGAGCCAAGATTCGCGTCAGGAATGGTCATGAAAGAGTCATGCCGCCGTAGGAGAAACGACCGCCGTAATTCTGAAAGTCGCTTAAAAATAGAACAGCGTGCATCAATAATGAGTAGGATTTTCGTATTTTTGACGTGACTGAGGGGCGCCGCGCAGTGGGCGTGCGCGCAACGTGTATCGCGGGTCCAGCTCGTGTGGAGATTAGATAAATCCCTTTCCGGATTACGCTCGCGTCGACGATTCCGGGCCGATCGTTTATTTTATTAAAGCTCACGCTGAGAGAGAAAAATGGTTAATCTCACTAAAATTCTAGTCATCTTCAGCGCCAACTGTATTTTTTTATGGTTCTGACAAAAAATAGCAGTAATATGCATGTAAGGTTACTTATCATTGACATTACAGTAACGCTTACCAGAGAAATGTTTCTCTTGACCATAAATCTTTCATTATACGATTACCCGTATAGAAATACATATTTCCCAAAATTTTCCCAGACACAGCATAGATTCCGATTTGAATGGCCAAACTTGTCCCGACATTGGTCGTCCCACTATCGATATCAATTCCAATTTGTCCCAAATCGAAATAAAAAATACTATAGGAATTCACGCTTTTTTAAATCGATATACTTTTATGGTATTAAACGAGGAATTTCAATTTTATACCAACTATTGTATTCAATAGAATAACAAATAAAAAGATATAATTATATTTTTTTAGATATATACAGTATAATCTGAGTCAGTTAAATCCGAAAAATTTTCCGAACTACCGTAATTTAATTAAAAATCAATATTTTTGAACACATTTTTCATAAAGATATAGAATAGTCTCAGCTATAAGATGATGTCACAATAAAATCAAATCTTTCTTTGCAGAAAGATTTGAACTGTTTGGAAATAAATTGAAAGATTATTTAAGTTTGTGATCGAATATCCTTTCGGATCTCACAGAACCAACATTGTATGTGAAATATTAAAACACTCTGAATATTTTTATACTAAATATACAAATAAAATTATTTGATAAGTCAACAGATATTTTGTTCAAATCTAATTCAAAATGAAGACTAGAATGCGTATTGGGGAACTTTGTATTTACTGCTGAAAATCGCATGTTTGAAACTTTTAACCAGAACTCGGAGATTCGGACTAGATTCCAATTAGATCTCTTATAGAATTTTCTATGCCACAAATACTAGTTTTTTTTTTTCAATATACATAAGTCGCGCTTGCGAAAGGGATCGTCGTTGGACAGGCGAGGGTCAACTTCCGGACGATTCGGCAATTTTTGATATCCCGGCGTTTCGGCCAATCGTCAATAACGACTGCTACGCAAACGACGTTCTTCGTGCTTCGCTCTGGAGCAGCCATCGATCTTCCCAATCTGACGTTTAATACGCCTAGTCTAGTATCGGTGATTGAGAGGAGATACACGCGTCACGAAGGACACGTCGTATATTATGGAACGCACAAAGAATCAACGTCAGGAGGAAAAGGGAAGAAAAACGTCGCGCACGCCTGGGTGCTGGCACGGCTAATCCAATCGGCGCGACGCGGCCGCCTATGCAGGCATTTCCACGTGCGAGTCTCGCATTTAAACGTCGCGTTGAATTCCGCTGAATACAAACAATTTTTAGCAGTCGGCGCGGGCACCGTTATATCCAATGTATTTTCCGCGGTGAGCGCGGACGTCGCGGGATGCAATTGTCCAATGGAGTAATGGCCATCCAGCGGGCACAAAAGAAAGGAAAATCTCTGTCTCGTTCTTTCTCTCTCCACCTTTCCCTCTCCTCCTTTCTCTGCCGATCCTCGCCGTGAAAGAGGAGTTTAATCTCTCAGGCAGGATTACGAGTTATGCCCCGGGGACGGCGACTATCATTTTTCGCGAGGTATCGCACAGGCCCACGGTACATTCGAGGTACGGCGGATGGACGAAAGAGGATATTATAGAGCCGAAGGTATTTCTCAATCGCGGCCAATCGAGGCAAAGAGAAAGAGAGACAGCCAGAGAGAGAGAGAGAGAGAGAGAGAGAGAGAGAGAGAGAGAGAGAGAGAACGGATCTGTGATTCTCGGTATATGAAATAATCTTACGAGTGTCGTTTTCGATAGCGGAGCTATAATATAAGACGAGGAAACGCACTTTTACCGTTGGTTCATCACGATCGTCAATAAGCATGACGGAATAACGGAATGAAAAAATATACGTATGTATTATATCTAGTATGGATCGATTTTTTTAAGGCGCTTTGGCTCGATGGAGAAAAAGCTCCATCTTGGCGATATCTTTCATGTGGTTACGAACTCTCGCTTCGAACGGTGCGCGAGGTGATCCTCACCGAAGGAATTCAGGCTCGTCGCGCACCTGGCGCGACCTTCTCTCTTTTTTTCTCTCTCTTTCTCTCTCGCGAAGATAACCGCGGCGAGTCTCACGTTCCGCGAGAAAGACAGACGCAAACCGCGGAATGAGAGAGAAGAGACGCCGCTTTTCTCGCAAAACGGGAAATTAACGCGTCGGCTGTTAAGATTCCTCGCTCTTCACGCTTCGCGGATGGCGACGCCCGTTTTCCGGTGCTCGCTCGCTCGCTCGATCGTTCATTCGTTCATTTCGTTACTCGCGCGGATCCTCGGCGCGCTCCTCGGTGGAATGGTCTCGGTGGTATTCGGACACCCGGTATTTCCGGCCGCGCGGCGGCCGTGCTGTTGCTAACTGCCGAGGCAGCAACGGTCCGAAGGACACGACCCGTGGTGTGGCGGCGGTGGTGTGCGCGTCATGTGCGTGCATACGCGGCTCACGCGTGTGTGCGTATCGGCGTGTTAACTTGGCGAAGCAGAGGAGGCGAAGTCGGGTGTGGAAGCGAGAAATAGGGATAGACGCGGAGAGAACGAGAGAAACGACGAGGGAAGAGACGCGCGCGATCCGCCGAGAGTGGGGAAGTTTGGGTCCCGAGGGCAACCGTCCATGGGGCCCGTCGTCTCCGTTAGAGAGAGGAAGGAAAGGTCGACCAACCAAGCTAGGAACCAAGGGCGAAACGGAGGAGAATCCGCAGCGCTCTACCAGAGCGTTCCGAAATAGGGATGCTGTGTGTGGATATACCTGGGAAGAGAAGTCGATACTTCAGCGGAGGTAGCTAAAGCTAAAGCATACTCGAGCTGAAGCTCAGTCGAAACAACCGTCCTAAACAATATTGAAGTTAAGAACCGGAGCAGAGACGGAGGAGGAGGGCGCTTGTTCTCCGGCGATTTAGCGTACGACTAACTACTTCTTCTCTCACGTCGACGACCGGCGGAGTCGGTAAGACGAATCGACGCGAATGGAAATGAGTCAGCGAGCGAGTTCTTCAAATCCCAGTCGTTCTCCGATCCTATTCAAACGCCACTCTCGCCAGATACACGATATACACAAGGTGTCCCAAAACACCGTCGTCGACGGTGGAGCGCGCCAGACTTGGCTTCGTTGCTTCACGAAGTTCAGGGGTTTCCTAAATTATACATCGGTGTATACGCCTTTTGTGCGTGCGTCCGCTAAATTATACGTTGCATCGTATATTTCGTGTTTCTCATTACAATTAAGCGACATTTTGACTTCATCGTCGGTCAAGCCCACCGTTACGAGCCAAAGGCTAAATAAGGGCCCCGGCGGTCGTAGATAGAAAAGCGCTTCATGGCCCCCTCGGCAGAGCGGAAAGCGTAGGGGGACCGCGAGAAAGGAAGAGAAAGAGAAAGAGAGAGAAGGGAGTACGAAAAGAGAGGAAGCGCAAGAAGAGAGGAGAAGAGAGGACGAGGGAATTTCTGGGACCCGCGACGTCCTTGGGTCGGTAGTCTCTCCGCGTTGTTCAGGGCCGTCTCGACGTCCCCACTGGCGTCGTGACGGAGGAGGTCGTGTACTTTTCCTTCTCCTCTCCTGCCTCTCGCTCCTTCCTTCCTTCCTTCCTTCCTTCCTACCTTCTTTCCTCCCTCCCTTTTGCCTCTGAATCGCGGCCGGCGACACAAAGGCGACAAAGTACTTCGTCAGCTCGTTCGAAATCGATCGGCAATGACGAACGAACACGGGATTTGAATCACGACGGATAATTCAGGGCTCTTCGGCTTCGTAAGCTTCGGAAACTCAGAAACAAGTGACAGTCCATTGACTCTGCAATTCACGTCCTTTTCTTGTGTTTTCGGCTCATAGATTCATAGAATAGACTGTGACTCTTACGCGACGGTTGATTACGAGATTTAATGACAGAGATATGCTAAGTCAAGTGTTTCCTCTGTCACGTCGTACTCTAGGAGAGGATAATGTAGCAGAAATAAAAGAGAAAATGGAACAGTGTAAGAAAAGAGGTTGATCCTGTGATTGTTTCTCTTCCACTTTGTTCTTGCCACTAATTAGACAA